ACGGCTTTGCCCGGAGCCAGAAGTCAGGCGCTCGCTCTGCTCAGGTTCCTTAATCGCATGCATTGGCAGTTTGTCACCGTAGCGCTTAGCGAGCAGGTGGGAGATTACGATAGCCTTTGATTATGGCAAATTAGACCGTGCTTTTGTAGGATCCAGAATCACTGGCGGCATTCCGTCATTTCGAGCGCCTTGCGCTGGACCGCGGTGTTTGCTTGGCAGAAGTCGTGAATATCGGAGGAGTGCGAGTGGATAACCTACCCATTGGTACTACTACCAATGTGACAATAGTGAGTTCGAATATTTATACAAGTTTCTATGGGCAGATGGAAGTTGTCTTTATCTTCTTTCACCATTATTTTTTCAGGTATTCGCCACTTCCCGCGATGCAGCTGCCTACCTTGCCTTGACCCTTCGTTCGCCACGTAAAGTCGTCCACATTATGATGGGAGATTCACACGATTGGTACTTGCACGATCCACAGAACAAAAAGAACTTCCAAGGTGTTGTGTCAGTGCAACCGAAGGTGAGATTTAGGTTGTTTCTAGCTACATCCTATAATCAAAAAAGAGGGGGCATCAAAAGTAAGAAAGAGAGGCCTAAAAGAGACAGAGGACCGAAAAGTTCACCTCACTGACCAACCAGGGGGTTTAAAGAAATGACTGGAAAATGTTCTCAAGGTTATAATCAAAATTTTCCAAACGATATGGATCCGATCCAACCAGATATTTAGGGATAAAAAAGTGTACACTTTGTCAAAAAAATTCTTGGTATGATGCGTTGATGTAATTTAACGGACTGTAGGTACCGTAGTGTCCCATAAGCGAAAAAAACAATAATAAAAGAATCCATATCCTAATCATTCCTTACATTGGACGAAATGGAAACTAGTAGATCAAGCTTCCCCGGAAATCATTGGCAGCGAGGAAGGTTGTATGAATGTGAGAAAAATTAGGAAATAAAATAATTCAGGTGCGGACGGACCTGCATGATTATTTTCAAAATGTTAGT